ATTATTAATATGTATATTTTCGCTGACAGAGGACCTTGCTCTAAATGTAGGTTTCGTTATCCAGTTCCGGGTCATTAGCAGTGGGGGAGCTTGTAAATAGAATGGTTTATTCACATGGGAAGCCTTCATTAAGATGCATTATTCTACAGCTGATGTATTTCCATCTGTACTATATTGTCACATTCGCCACCTCCCTTTAATATCCGTCATTTATTTTAAAATGAGTTGCTGCGTATGTAGCAAATTCACAAATTGGAATTCCGTGCGACCAGGCCGAATGGCTAAAGAGGGAGAGATGTTTTAGCCCAAAGGAAAAGCTACTCATTAACAGAGGACCCGAATACATTATCACCTCGAACTTCAGAAGCATCTTGAGAAGGAAGCGAGGAATAACCCAAATGCATTTGCGTCAGAGGGAGACAGGTGGAGAGCCACGCATGAACACACACGTATCAACAGCACAGTGTGGTGTAATAGGAGACATTGGGGAACCTCCTCAGTGTAAAGTGACTTGGGCACAGCATTTTGTTTTGGACCTCAGCTTTCTCATGGGTTCAGCGGGATGGTCTCCCTCAACCCCAATGGATGGGTGTGAAGATCCGTGAAGAGGTGTATTGAAGGAGCCTGGAAGAGCTGAGCTCCACCTCCCTGCAGGAGAGGGTCATCCGCTGAGGCTTAGCTGTATCTCTGGATTACCCGCGGATCTTGGAAGTGTTAGCAGGTTTGCTGAATCCTTCAGAGAGAGCTGTTGCGACACAAACCAGAGTCATCTGCTTGTTTATTCATTTTCAAGTGTAAAAGGGAGAACCCAAACTAAACCAAAGCAAATCAAATTCACGACCATCAACACAATTCAGACTTACAGTGACATTGTGGGACAGAGTGGAGCTGCCCCGAGGAAGCAGACGGCCACAGCTTTCTCAACTGCCAACACTTAACAACTTCCCCATGGAGCCACCAAGTCTTCTAAAAGGGAGAAGGCCCCACTATGATATAGTTTGTCTTTGTTGATCTTTAAGGGCAGCCTGCAATCCCAACCTGTCGTCCTTAGCGGCTGTCGAGTCTGCGCTGACGCCTGGCAGCCTCACACAGGATAGCAGAAGGAAGCATCTCATCTAGTGCGATCTACACCATCGCTGGCCAGCACATTCGTAGAGTCACAGCTGTTGTGTCTGTCTGTCCTGGTCACTGGCACAGTCGCTGGCCGGCACCATCCCATGGTCATGGCTGTTGTGTCTGTCTGTCCTGCTCACCGGGCATTCCCTCCCTTTTCGCTTGCCCTCTACAAACATCACGCCCTTTTCCAGTGCTTGGACTTCCCTGATGGAGTGTCCACAGCAAGCGAGACCAAGTGTGGCCATCCTGACTCTCGTACTGAGCATTCTGGGTGCAGCAAATAATGGCGGGCAAAAAGCAAACTGGGGAAGAGATGCCACGTGGCTCGCTGATACAGCATAGAATCGTTTCCTCAGTACAAGACGTCCAGTAATTTTACATGTCCATCGAAGACAGAGAAACATTGATCATTTGTAACAGCAAATCCATTTTATCATCGTCATGAAATGATTGTCTTTGAAATCACCTCCAGTGAGCTTTCAGGAACATCCCTTGGTGAATTATGAACTTGAATTCCTTACAGAAGCCCTTGTAGCATGGTGGTTAAAGCACTGGACTGCTAACCAAAGGGTCAGTGGTTGTAACCCACCAGTCTCACTGAGGGAGAAGGATGAGGCTCCTATAAAGTTCTCCTATGTCCTTTGGGGTCCCTGAGAGTCACAATCAACTAGGTGGCAAAGGGATTCTTACATACTCAAAATGTGAACACTGAGATGAAAAACTGAACCCTAGAAGCTAGAAGAACTGGATTTTTTTTTTAACTGCTAAGTGAAAGAAATTCCTATCTCCTTCTTCGTTATTATCATCTTCGTCTTGATTGTCACCGTTTTCGGCCCCTGCAGTCCATACATAGTGTACCATCACAACTACCCAGGGATGTCGCTGTGCTGAGAAATCACTCTGATAATCAGAAAACAAGCCCCATTCCATCGAGTTGGTTCTGACTCAGGGCGACCCTGCAGGGCAGACCAGAACTGTCCTGGGCTTCCAAGGCTCTCGTCCTCACGGCGGCAGACAGCCTCATCTTTCTCCTGAACTGCAGCTGGTGGGTTCAAACAACCCACTTTGAACCAAGCCAAGCACTTAACCATGATGCCACCAGGGATCCTTAAGGCAAACATAGATAACGCATCAATAAATTGTGAGGCTGTGGTCCAATAAAACTTTATTTACAAAAGCAGTCACTAGTCTAGCTTTGATTCATAGATCACAGATTGTGAATACCTGCCTCAGAGTGCTTGGTTTTCCCCACACCTGGACAGTATCAGAGTCAGCTGTTGTTGTTGTTTGGTACCGCCGGCTAGGTTCTGACTCATAGCAACCCTCTATAGGGTTTTTGAGGAGTGGCTGGTGAGTTTGAACTGCCGACCTTGCAGTTCAAACCAATTTTAGAGTCCAGTGCTTATCCTACAGCGCCACACCAGGATTCTAAGAGCCACCTTAGTGGCTTCCAAAATGAATTCCTTGTCTCTAGGTTAATGCGCTGGACTGCAAGCTTGTTTGAGTCACAAGGTCAGCAGTTCAAGCTCACCAGCCGCTCCTTGAAAACCCTATACAAGGTCACTATGGGTTAGAAGTGACTCGATGGCACACAACAACAACAACAACAACCTCACCCCAAGGCCTCCCGGTATGGCACTGTGGGTTAATGCGCTGGGCTGCAAAGTCAGTTTGAATGGCAAGGTCGGCGGTTCAAGTTCACCAGCTGCTCTTCAGAAACCCTCTACAGGGTTGCTATGGGGCAGAACTGACTCAACAACACTTAACAACAATTGTAAATTTATTTGATTTAGTTTTTACAAAGAGTTTAAGGAATTCCTGCAAATGCCCTATTTGGTGCTCAGGAGCCGTTACAGCTGGTTCTCATCAACCCCTGGATTGGCCATCAGTTTGTGTAGTGTCCTGGGCTGCATCCGAGTATCTTTGAGCTTGAGGACTGCTGTCTTGAGTTCTCATGGTGTAGTTTCCAGAACCACAGTCTCTCAGCACTGCGGCCTTCCCTCGCTCCTCTTGGTTCTTTCCACCCAAACCCACAAGGTAGCACTTTGTGACACTTTTCCTTAGCAATGTCGTATGTTCATCCAGTCCTGCCAACTTCATTTTAAGCCCCTAAAGAGCAAGAGTCCTGGTGTGGTGCTGTGGGTTAATGCGCAAAGTTGGTTTGAACCACATGGTTCATGGTTCAAGCTTAGGCCCAGCTGCTTTTTGGAAACCCTATATAGGGCCGCTATGGACCACAAAGTGGGTTTGAACCACAAGGTTAGTGGTTCAAACTCACCAGTTTCGCCTTGGAAACCCTCTACAGGATCGCTATGAGTCGGAACTGACGACGAGACAGCACTTCACAACAACAACAAAGCACAAGAAAGACACCACAAAATGTTTATGAATGTTCTCTTACCAGAACTCTCCAAAGTCAGCGTTGAGCCTTAATGATGAATCCTTTGTTGATTTGTGGATCAGGGGATCTTGATGGAGAACATTCCAACAATAAGACTTAATTGAATAAGACTTAATAAGACTACAGGAAGCGTGTGCTGTAGAAGACCTTACACTCTTCCTTGGAGGTCTCTAACTATGTTGTTGTTGTTGTTGTTAAGTGCTGTTGAGTCGGTTCCGACTCACAGCAATCCTGTATAGGGTTTCCAAGGAGCAACTGGTGAGTTTGAACCACCAGCCTTGTAATTCAGACGCACCTTGTGGTCCAGTGCTTTACCCACAGCGTCACACCAGGACTCCAACCATGGAACAGATCTTTTCCCAGTTGAGGCTGAGATCATTTTTCTTGAAGTCAGTACTTTTCATCCACTCTTCCTTTGATAATTTTTTACTTCATATCCTTTGTTTTCCCATTAACCAAGTAGATATGCAAAAACTTTGCTTTCTGTCCTTTGAATGATTTTTTAATAAAAAGCTCTATTGGCTCTGCAAGGGGCCCTGGTGGAATAGTGGTTAAAGCAGTCCATTACTATCTGAGAGGTCAGAGGTTCAACCCCACCAACCTCTCTGAGGGAGTAAGACTTTGTAGTCTGCTTCCACAAAGATTGCTGTGGATGTGAAGTGCTGTTGAGTTGGTTCCAACCCATAACAAACCTGTATTTCCTAAGAAGTGGCTGATGGGTTCAAACCGATGACCTTGTGGTTCACAGTCCAGTGCTGATCGTACAGTGCCACACCAGCAGTTTGTGAAGACTACAGCCTTAGAAGCCCTCTAGGCTGTTTTACTCTACCCTACAAGGACTCCTGGTGTGGCGCTGTGGGATCAGCACTGGACTGTGAACCACAAGGTTGGCGGTTCAAACCCACCAGCTGTTCCTTGGAAACCCTACACAGGGTCACTATAAGTCAGAATCGCCTTGATGACATTTAACAACAACAACAGGCTGTCCGTGAATATGTACTTTTCTAGCTCACCAAGCCCTTCCCCGAAATCTGAATTAGGTAGAGGAGTGGACTCATTCTTTCTCCCCTTACCCCCCACCCTGTTGGTGAGCCATTTCTTCATATCTTTCAGCCATTCAAAGTCTTATGTCCTGCATTTATTTCTTATAGGCCTTTGGCTCTTAAAATACCAAACCAACCAACCTGTAGCTGTCGGGTGTGTGACCACTCATGACAACCCCATGTTAACACAGGGTTTCCTTGACTGTAATCTTTGTGGGGTCAGATCACAGGTCTTTTTTCCCGTGGTGCTGCCTCGTGAGTTCCAGCCACCAAGAGTGTGGTCAGTCCCCAAGCACAAGCCATCGGCAGCACTTGTGGACCTCACGGATCTCCGGTGGACCATCCTCCATGACACTGACATCCGCGATTCCTTCCTGATGTTTTTCTCCAGCCCTCCCTCCGGCTTCCGTGACCTCAGACTTCTCTGCTTATGTTCTCAGATCCCTCCACCCCACTTTGACCAAGTCAGTGCCATGCTCATCCAGGCCCAGCAGGTGAAATCGCAGCGGAACGAGGTGCAGATAAAGCGTGAGGAAGACTACAAGGAGGCCTTGGTCACCATCAAGAATGACCTGAAGCTGCTGGAGGGTCCAGACATCAAGGAGAGCCTGCAGGACCAGATCCGACACTGGTTCATCGAATGCAGGTGAGTGGAAGCGGTAGGAACCCCCCCCCCCCATCAGCAGCCTCGCCTGCCGCTGAGCTGACGGTACGTTCTATGCGCCCAGAAGGGAGTTGGCATAGACTCCTATGGTTTCCAATGTGAAATAGCCAAGGCTGAGAATTCAGGAAATGATTCTTTCTTGTTTGTTTGTTTGTTTGTTTTACTGGCATTGCATTGTGTCCTGTGTTTAGAAATAGGGTCCTCGTAAGACTTCTGTGGAGTCTGGGTTTGGTGCCGTGGGTTTATTAGCTGGAATGCAAAGTCAGGTTGAACTGCAAGGTTGGCAGTTCAAGCTCATCAGCAGCTCCTTTGAAACCCTATGAAGGGTCGCTATGGGTCGTATCCCACTCAAGATCACGTTATAACAACAACACAAGGTTTCTATAAGGTCCTTGGTGATGCAGTGGTAAAGCCACACTCACCTGCTATCCCACCGGCCATTCAATAAGAGAAACCGCAGATGACAGCCCAGAAAGCCCTATGGGGCTGTTCTCCTCTTTCCTAGGGTCACTGTGTGTCAGCATCTACTCAATGGCAGTGGGTTTGGCTTGGTGGCACAGTGTTGGACTGTGTTCAGTCCACTGTTCAGCAGTGCACTGCTAATCTAACCGTCAGCCACTCTGAGAAAGAAAGATATGGCAGTCCACCTCCATGAAGGTTTACAGCCTTGGAGACCCCACGGGACACTTCCATTCTGCCCTGTGGACTCGCTATGAGATAGCATTAAGTCAGTGGCACCCAACAGCAACGCCTCCATGGTGCTTCGAGACCATGGGGTTTGGACATCACAGATGGAGGACAGAGCGCTGGGTGGGATAGGATTTCAGGGGCCAGGCCCTAGAGATGGGAAGCAGCCACACTGGGCTATGCCGCCCTGCCTTGTGTGGGGGATTGGCTGTCTCTTCACCACCGTCGGTTCCTGTCTGTTGTCATCCTTGTAGGCAGCTTCTGACTCTGGGGACATGACCTGGACCCAAGACCTCCCTGAAATGCTAGGTGGGTACCAATCCTGTCTTGAGACCCACAGACGTCATTTTCTTTTCCTGCTGCTCTGGAGCTGATTCCAGCTTGCAGCCACCCTGGAGGTCAGAGCAGAGTTATTCTCTAGGGTTTCCGAGGCTGCAATCTGTAATGAGCAGGCTACGCTGCCTCTTCGTTCTGTCCTGGAGTGAGCAGTGGGTTCAAACTGCCAACCTTTCGTTTAGCAGCCTAGTGTTTAACCTGCTGCGCCACCAGGGCTCTGTTCACGGTCTTCAATGCTCTTAGCCAATGCAGTGGTCTTCAATGCTCTTAGCCAATGCAGTGGTGCCGGTGGTGGACGTGGAGTCAGTTCTGACTCTTGGTGAGCCCACCTGTGCAGAGTCGGGTTGTCAAGGATACGGCCTCTCAGAAGCAGATGACCAGGTCTTTCTTACGAGGTACCACTGTATGGATTTGTGCTGAGAATCCACATGAAACTGTTCACCTCAGATAAACAAGTAAGCACAAGTCAGCCCGTGCTTACTTTGCTTATTGGGTCCCACCCTGGCTGTGATGCTTAGATGGTGGAGCCTGGGGCCTAGGTAAGTCCTCCCACCTGTCTGCCTCTCTCCTCCCTCCCCGAGCCCTTTGCCTCTAACTCCTCCTTGTTTAAGGAGAGCAAGCCCTTAGGAAAGAGGCTCTGTCCCCCTGAATCCCTCCGTGTGCCCCCGCCTGTCTGAGGTGACTCGACAAGGCTGAGCACACAAGCTGTCTGAGTTGGGGTCCTTGCTCCCCATGAGTCAGCTGTGTGGCCATGGCAAGTCACTTCACAGTGGGCCCATGTCCTCATGTCTAATCTGGGGACAAGAACAAACCCTACTGCAGTATAGAGGGCTCAGAGGATCAGCACTGAACTGCTAAAAGGAGGTTGACCGTTCAAACCCACCAGCTGCTCCTCGGAAATCCTATACAGGGTCGCTATAAATCGGAACCACTCGACGGCACTTAGCAACAACAACGAGTATTAGTTTCATAATAAAAGATCTAGTTTAAATATACTTCAAACAAATAAAAATGAAAGAAAAGCAATCAGTTCGGCATAGTCTAAAATGAACTTTTTTTTTTTTTAATTAAAAACCCTAATTTGAGAACCCTAGAATGATGCAGCCTCCATGACATTTTGGAACTTGTCTTTTGGTGGAAAACTCAGAAGCCGTGTGGAAGTGCATGTGATCAGTTCTCCCTTCCTGGGGTCCCGGGGGCGTGGGAGATTTAGGCTACTCTGTGGGTCATCCTGGGAGCTGTCCCTTCTGTCATCTCAGGGTTTATGAGTGTTCTTTGAAGAACCAGGCCTTGCTGGTCAGTGTCCTCCCTCCTGACACCCCTGACCTGAGAGTTTGGGGGTTGAATTAGAATAGCTCTCTGGGTAACTCACTAAGATGGGAAGATTCTACTTTTGAAGTAATATAAATCCAGAGCAAATTTACTCACCTAATTAGATTACATGTATCTGATTAACTTTTTTAAAAAAATCCATTTCCTTGTTTTTTAAATCAAAGGCAAATTAAAAGAAAATATTGCCTTTTGAGACATGAAACACTATCAGTCAGGATTAACTCTAATTGGAAACTAAACAAATTATTGGAAAACATACCACAGAAAACCACATCCACTGCTATTGTTTATGGCTCAGAGTGACCCTAGGGGGCAGGATAGGACTGCACTGCCAGGTTTCCCATGCTTTCCTCTTTCCAGAAGCACACTGCCATGTCTTTCTCCTGTGGAGCAACTGGTGGGTTCGAACTGCTGACCTTTCAGTTAGCAGGCACACCATTAGCCACAGTTATTACGTGAGGAGACTCCAGAAAGTTTATGGAAAAATTCCGTTTGCTTCTCATTTCATTTCTCCATGAGCTGTTTGAAGCCCTTTCATACACTCATACTGTTTAGTGCAGGTTTATTAGGTTCATTTAATTAATACTTAGAGTTGCCAAATGGGGTCACAGTAGGGTTTATTTTTTAAGTCAATCTCTAACTCATTGTCAGCTTGTTACTGTGAATGAAGAGAAGATGTGCAGAGCAGTTCATCAGTTTGATTCATCTTCAGTGATTCCCATCGCCTCCCCCACAACGCAACATCACTTATCCCATGCCCTCCCCACTTCCTGTTTCCATTCTTCCTTTTTTCCCATCCTTCTGATCTTTGTCCTTAGGTAAATGTCACCCTTTTGAGATAGAATGGTTGGCCATTCTGTGCTGTGCATACCTCACAAGTGTTATTGTCCCCCATACCGACCTATCTACTACTTGACTGAAAATTGAGCTATGGATTTGAAGGGTAGCCAAGGCTCATAGTCTCAGACTTTCACCAGCTTTATCTGACCAGTAAGCCTGGTTTACTTCCACAATTTTGAGTGTTGTTTTATAGTTTCTCCCACTCTAGCCAGGACCTTCTAATGTGATCCCTTTCAGAGCAGTTGGTCAGAATAACTGGGCATCATCTAGTTCTTCTGGTCTTAGGGTTATGGAAACTGATAACTGTGTGGTCCATTAGTTCACTGGACTGATGGTTTACAAGCATCCTCAGTTTTCATCATTCTTTCTTCCAGACAGGGAGAGACCAGTAACTATACCTCAGATGGCAGCTCAAAGTCCAGTAATTTCTAACTTATTTCTTAATGGCCACACAAAACTCCCAAGCAATACTCATAGCTATGGGAATTGTTAAGGAAGTAACAGGTTACAATTCAGGATGAGAAAAGCCTCAGGATGCATTTCTTTGTTCAGGACAGCCATGCCGGCAGATGATCCTCTCCCTGACCCTGGGTTCCTTAGGCCTCTCGGGCTACTCCAGCCTCTTCTCTGCTTAGGCAGTGCTACAAAGGCCTTTCACTGCCCTGAGAAGTACCCAGAGGTGCTCCACTTTACCAGTAAGCCTCGGCCAAAAGACACTCAGCTCTTTTGTTCTGTGGGTCAGGAAGTCCATCGTTCCATGTTCTGTGGCTTTCCTGATTCTGCTGCTGCCACTCTGAGCCACTAGTTCTCGTCACCTCTTGTCATCTCTGTCTTCTGGGTCTATGAGGTTCTCAACACAGGGACCCCAGATCCAAAGGATGCACTCTCCTCCTGTCTCTTATTTCTCAATGGTTGTGAGCTCCCCTTCTGCTCTGGAATCAGCTCTGTGTTAACCCTAGTGGGATGGCAAAACTGACCAATACCTTCATTTGGGTTCCAGACATTTCATTTGTATTGTTGTTAGGCGCCATCGAATCAGTACTGACCCATAGCAAGCTTATGCACAGCAGAACAAAACACTGCCTGATACTGGGCCAACCTCACTATTGTTGCCACTCTTGAGTCCATCGATGCTGCCACTTGGCCAATCCATCTTGCTGGGGGTCTTCCTTTTTTTCTCTGACCCTCCACCTTACCAAACATGATATCCCTCTCAAGCGACTGCTCCCTCCTGACAATATGTCCAAAGTATGAGAGACAAAGTTTGGTCATCTTGTCCTCTAAGGAGCACTCTGGCTGTACTTCTTCCAAAACGGATCTCTTGGTTCTTTTAGCAGCCCATGGCACTTTCAATATTCTCTTCCAACACCATAATTCAAAGGCATTAATTCTTCTACGGTCTTCCTTATTCACTGTCCAGCTTTCACATGCATATGAGGTTATTGAAAATACTATGGCTTGGGTCAGGCGCACCTTAGTCCTCAAGCTGACATCTTTGCTCTTCAACACTTTATAAAGGTCTTGTGCAGCAGATTTGCCTAATGTAATGCATCGTTTGATTTCTTGACTGCTGCTTCCATGAGTGTTGATAGTTGATCCAAGAAGAATGAAGTCCTTGACAAGTTCAAAGCAAGGTACTATAATGAATTGTGCAAAGACCTGGAGTTAGAAAACCAAAAGGCAAGAACATGCTCAGCTTTTACCACTCAAGCTGAGGGAACTGAAGACAAAATTCAATCCTTGAATTGAGATGTTAAAGTATTCTATGGGCAAACTATTCAGTGATG